TCCAATCCTATCTATCTAAACTTGAAATTCATAAAAAAGTAAAATTTTGTAGTTTTAGGTTATATATATTAGGGTGTTTCAAAAAAACCTTTTTTTTTGTTTTTTTTTTCTCGGAACCACGCTCAAAAGTTTCGTATAGATATAAAAATGAGCCTGTGAAAAAATGAGCTCTTAATTTCAAAATTAAGATGTTCCGCATCGCACTTTTCGATTTTCCATAAGAATAACATAGGAAACATTATTTTTGTTTCTTTTTATTTTTGTAACTAAACAACATTGAACGCTGTTTTTCCGAACTTCCAGAGCTCAAAAACAATATTTCGATTCGTTTTTAGCACTTTGAACTAAAAAATCCAGAAAAAATCCGAGAAAACGACTAAATTGACGGTTAATTTCACTTTAACCTTGAATAACTTTTAACCAAGTTTACTTACCGAAAAATGACTCTATACCTTTTTTGTAGAGCCTTCAATTCTCTACAAAAATATTTCAAATTTTTTTAAATGAGTCGGGTAGTTAAAAAACACAAAAATTTCGTATAATTTGAACTTTGACCTTAAATTTGTTTAGAAGGATCAAATTTATCAAAAAATCATAAAAAACCTTTTTTGTAGAGCGTTCAATTCTCTACAAAAATATGTCAAGAACTTTATAGTACGACTTATTGTTCGTTAGTTACAAAAATAAAAAGAAACAAAAATAATGTTATGTTATTCTTGTGGAAAATCGAAAAGTTTGGACTCCTTGTGTAGGCTCCATGGTGCCAACACTGCACAGCTGTCAAATTATAACAGCATATACTGTTATGTTATATAAACTACTCAAAACGAATTAAGGACAACTTTTTAAAATACATGTATCTTTTTTAACTTTTAAGCAACCCTCGTATATTTTTATAGGCTTGTACTGATATTATGTATAATTTATTTTATGTAAACAAACTTTTTTTGTTTTCATAACTTTTTGTAGAAATGCGATTTGTTTAAAAAACAGTGCATTTTAACATTTATTGTAAGTCATTTTAGTCGTTGTTGTGCATTGTGATAAGTTCAATAATTAATTAAAATGAATGTTGATGCTCTAGGAAGGCCTTTTCATCAAAGGAGGCATTTAAATCAGGTTGAAGTAGTGACAGCAGTTACTTTATTTCAAGAAGGACATTCGGTAAGAACTATTGCCCGAAGACTTCAAACAAGTCATTCGGTAATTTCTAGACTTCTTAACAGACATAGAGAATTTGGTTTTATCACTAGAAGACCTTATCCGGCAAGAGAACGAGTCACAAACCCACGTGAGGACCGTAATTTGGTAAGGTTAGCCACCCAAAACCGAGCCAGAACAGCAAGAAACATTGCTGATTTACATTTTGACGCCAGCGCAAGGCGAATATCCACTCAGACAGTTAGAAATAGACTTCATGAAGCCCATCTACGTTCCAGAGTCCGAGCTGTTAGGCCCCAGTTAACCCGTGCGCACCGAAGAGCTCGATTAACTTTTTTCGAAATCATATCAATTGGGATATGGATCAGTGGGGACCCGTGCTCTTTTTAGATGAGTCTAGATTTCGACTTAGCCACAACGATGCACGTGTACGAGCATGGAGGCGTAGAGGTGAGCGTTATTTAGATTCAACTGTAACAGAAACTGTTCACTTTGGAGGTGGCTCACTTATGGTCTGGGGAGGTATAACTTTAACGGGGCGTACAGGTTTGCATATCTGTAGGGATGGTGTGGTAAATGCTCATAGGTATTTGGAAGATATTGTAGAACCCTATATAGTCCCATTTGCCGCAGAAGAAGGTCCACAGTTTATTCTACAGCATGACAATGCGAGGCCCCACACTGCTCGTATTGTCACACAATATCTTGAGGAGAATAATATCGAGGTTTTAGAGTGGCCCGTAAACTCCCCGGATCTAAATCCTATTGAGCATCTCTGGGATGTTCTTCAGAGAAGGATAAGGGATCGTCCGGCACCAGAAAATTTGGAAAAGCTTGGAGAAATGCTTCAAGAGGAATGGAACAATATTCCCAGAGAAGTAATCAGAAATTTAGTGGAATCGATGCCTAGACGATGTGAAGAAGTTCGGCTAGCCAGAGGAAGACACACACATTACTAATTTTGTTGAAAATATTATTTATAGTTTATTTAAAAAAAAAAACATTTGTGAAAAATTAAAGTTTTATTTTCCAAGCGTTTATTTTTTATTTGATTTATAAAATATATACTCCATTTAAAACCCTAATGTTTTTCAGAAATAACAGGAGTTACAGAATGTAAAAAAAAGTTTTTGATTAAAAGTTATAAACAAGTTTAAAAGTGGTCCTTAATTCGTTTTGAGTAGTTTATATTAGGGTGTGCCAAAAAAACTCGATATTTTTTTTTCTTGCTCTCCACCCAATATATCGTAGAATATGTCCGAACAAATATTCTGTTAAAAGCGGAGCTTATAATTTCAATTTTAAGAGGTCCCTCATCGAATCTGAAGTTTTGCCGTTTGAATAACACAGAAAACTGACTTTTTTACCTTATTTATTCTTGCAACCTAGGAAGATTTTTTTTTTCATAAAATCCATGACTAATTCTTACAAAGCATTAAATTTTGACAAAAAAATCTTATTAAGCCGAATTTCTATTTTCATTATTTGATTTTTTACATTGCTTTAAATTTAAAGTTAATAATACAAAAATGATGACTTTATACGCCTGTAACTTTTAGAATAATGGCGATATAAAAAATTCGCCTAAAACATTTTTGTGGTCCATCAGACAAGCTAATAAATTGCCATTGGACTTTTTCGTCTAACTTCAATAGTTTAGCTAAAAAAGGCAAAAAAACGTAAAATTTTAAATTTAAAGCTCTGTAAAAAATCAAATAATGAAAATAGAAATTCGGCTTAATAAGATTTTTTCGTCCAAGTTTAATGCTTTGTAGGATTTGGTCATGGATTTTATGGAAAAAAAATTCTTCCTAGGTTGCAAGGTAAAAAAGTCAGTTTTCTGTGTTATTTAAGCGGCAAAACTTCAGATTCGATGAGGGACCTCTTAAAATTGAAATTATGAGCTCCGCTTTTAACAGAATATTTGTTCGGACATATTCTACGATATTTTGGGTGGAGAGCAAGAAAAAAATTATTTCGAGTTTTTTTGGCACACCCTAATATATTGTAAAGATTTCTCCTTACACCAGGTTCGTAAAACAAGTTTTATGAAAAATTAATAAATGAACTATTTTTGTGACTATGGCTCGTGATCGTCTTATCAAAATTTGGACCTCTACGTTGTGTTTACTTACGTGTTCTATTAAATACATTGCTTTAAGAATCATACTTGGGAGACTTAGGTATACAAAAAATAAAATACAGTGTTTTGTTTACCCCAATTTAATTTACTTTACAAACAAAAAAAAACACAAGGGGTGGCTCTTAGGGAGATACGACCAGGGAAAAAGAGCTTGAGAAAAAACCCTGTTCGGCTATGAAGTAGCAAAGGATTACACGATTAGGCATGGTTTCTTAAAAAGTTTATGCAAATCAAATGGAATGACACGAGGCTCGTTACACTATCTACCCCTACGGGTTCAAAAAAATAGGAAAAACTTTGTTAGTTTAACAGGGCAGTTAACTGCTAGTCTGTCAACGTTAACGTTGCCCTGTGGAGAACGAGGTCCGCACTGGAAACAACTCGCGTAAAGATGCAGTTTCGGGGTAAAAGTTGCGATGCCACCTAGAGAACCTAGGTGACCAGTTACCCCTCACGGAGGAGAGTATTTTAGTATCTACTGCAAACTACGTACTAAGAAAAAGGAGCATTCAAAGTTTAAAATTAACGGTCAATACTCCCCTTTAAGTAACGAAACGCCCTGTATTACACTGATATTTGTTTTAAAATTACCGCAAAAATATGCATAATCGTGTTGAGGAAGGGTCTAAACATTTGAGTAGTATACAACTAAATTAAGCCTAAGACAATAAACGAAAGGAATATAAATTTTTACATTTAGCAGTAAACTTAAAAGGTAAAACATTCTATAAAAATAGCTAAAACAAAAGGTGTTAATAACGAGTAAAATTCACTAAACGTAGTAGTGCAAAATAACTAATGCTCAGTTTATTTAAATCAAAATCGTTCTACGTTTAGTGGACTTTACTACATAATTGGGCTACTAAAATTATGAACTAACCTGGGAGAATACACAAACACTCGTAACAATTGTTTACACAGAATTTTACAATAATTATGGTTTTAGCAAAGATTCACGAAAACGATGCGTTCTCTAAGACTTCGGAAAACTTTCTGCCCCTTTATTTTCTTCCCTTATCAAGTTTCGATGTCGTTTTCGTCTCATCTGGTAAACAGATTTTTCCCATTTCAGGCAAAATTTCGGTCACGACACTTTGTAATTTCTCTACCTGACCGTTCGTTTTTTTTACCTCTGTTGCAACGATTTTTTCATTTTACAGCACAATTTAGAAATTCCAAACTTATTTAAAAATAAATTTGTAAAACGTATTAAAATACTGAACCATTACAATATATAACATAACAGTATATGCTGTTATAATTTGACAGCTGTGCAGTGTTGGCACCATGGAGCCTACACAAGGAGTCCAAACTGCATGTAAACAAGAATCTTTCCAAGTAAAGTAGGCGCTGGTGTCCGGTTTATTCTGAAACAATTGACTAATTTGTACCGAAACGCTACCAAAAGAGCAGACGTCAGGACGCATCAACAATCAGCGCCGCTGGTGGTGAAAAAAAAGACTTAATTTGTGCAATTTAGAGGGCAGGTTTTGTCAATTTTCCCTATTAAGTTCGGGCTCCTTGTGTAGGCTCCATGGTTGGCACATTGCCTGTTTATGGTTTTAGGCTATTTAAATTACAAATTTTGACGTCGACATCAATGACCTAAAACTTACTTAATGTTGTTTGTTAGACTTATTGATTTTTACTTTAAAGTAGGTACTGCGGGGTTTATTTTTATTATTTTTTATTACAGCCTGACAAAACTCCAGAAGGAGAGGAATCCGTAAGCGCAGCAGAACACGATCTGGCTCTCTACATGCTCCATCAACGCGACGTCAGATGCGAAGAGCTTACCGAAGAACTAACGCATCTTTTAGAAGAAAGAGATCTCCTTCAGCTACGCCTATCCATCGCGATCCGCGAAAAAGAAGAAATGCGCAAAAAAACCGTCGAAGACGCGGCAACAACGCACGGCGCGTCCACTACCGGTTTGCAGGCAAGCCCTAGCAAATCCGGCGCCATTTTCATGGCCGCATCCGGTATAGAGATGGGGAAAGAGCCGCTAGAGGAGGAGGGGCAAAATCTGGCCACCAAGTAAATCTGGCAACGTTGCTTTGTTTTTAGCTTATCAAACTGTCAAATTTTGACGTTTAGATAACCTACAAACGTCAAAACGTGCAATGTTGTCATATCGTAAATTTTTTAGGTTGTCAGAATTGAAGAGCGTGGGTTATAAGAAGGATAAAACGTTCGTAGACGAAAAAGAGTTACGAAAAATTCAACAGTTGGCAATAATGCAGGAACATATGAACGAAGCTTCAAAATTACCCGCTGAAGCTGCGCAAAAATTAGTTGATGCTAGTTATACGTTGTGTAAGTTTTTGTATGGACTCCTATTGCATAATATTGTGTTTTTTCGTGAATAATGATAAACATTAAAAATTTCCTGCCTAAAAACGGGAATAATGAACTCATTATTCACGTTGTTAGGCATCAATGATTGGTCGATTTCAATATTTACTTTGATTTAAACTAACCGGATTTTACATTGGGAGAAGGTGACTATAATTAGGTATGGGCATAATCGGATTATACCTATATCAAAAACCGATTATATCCGATACGATTATTTGAATAATCGGATGATAATTCGATTAAATAATCGGCGATTATAAATCGCATAATTTCGTTCGGATTTCAATATCGGAATAATTTAATCAAATTGATACTTCGAATGAAAGTACCTATGCGATTAACCTCTTAAGTGGCCATATCAATATGCTAAAGTTACATTTCTGATGGCTCACTATTTTTCCGGATGCGAACACATACGTTATGTGCATTACGTAATTAATAGGCCGTATATATACGTCGTAATCGAGCACTTTTCAAACAAACGTATATATACGTCATATATATAAAAAAGAAAAAGTAACTAAAACATATTGGGTATAATAATAAGTAATATGTAAGTCAATATGTTATTTATTTTATAAATCTACACAGGTAGGTAAATATATTATTATCTATGAGAAAAGTACATTTTGTATTCTGGTTTTGGGCATAAACCCTGTAGAATTAATAAACCCGGTAGGGTTTTGATTTTATTTCTGTTTTTCTCTGTCCATTTCCTAACTCTAGAGTGTCATTTTATGTTTGTGTGATTTCTCAAAATAAACTGTATAGCATATCTATTTGTTTCTGCCACATTTATATCAATCATTTTTGTCAAAAAAGTGTTCAAAAATGTCTATTCTATATCCAACTCATATGGATTATTTATCTGTACCCCACTGGTTGCCGTGAATTTAAAGGGTGGTCGGGGAATCCCATTCTCAGTTCAAGGCATGTCAAAATTTATTTCTTCGGCCTCTTCGTATTCAGAAACATTATCACTTTCGTCATTATTACTCTCAAATTCTTCACTGTAATTTGAATCGCTTTCCGATCCATCTAGTAAAATCACTATTTTCGACGCAAATGTAATCACAATGCATTTCAGTAGGGTAACCCGATATAATATTATTATAAACAATATTCTTTTACCAAATAAACCACGTTTTTTTACAAAAAAACACCAAGGAATAACTACCACGTGCTGCGCAAATAAATAAAGATTGTTACTGCGTACGCCAAACACTATTTCGCGGTATTTTCTCATCAAGCTCATAGATTAATCTATGATCAAGCTATCGAATATTTAATCTATGATCAAGCTATCGAATAGGCACCCCCCTACACTGTAAACCACCGCATGCGGCATAAATATTAAATGCTCAAAGCAACATTTCAATGCGAATATATCCGTCATAAGCGCTGGAATATAAACTTTAAAATCCGGATATACATATACGTCATAGCCACTTCAGAGGTTAATAATCGCCGATTATTTTTGAATTAAATAATCCGCGATTATTAATCGAGTATTTTCATTCGGATTTCAAATTGAATGAGTTATTCGACGACTCGAATACCTACAAATAGTAATTTACGATTATGATGATACGATACGATTATAAAATTTGTTTAATGTTACGTTATATCCTGATCTGAAAAAACGCGATAAGAAGTATTTGAGCAGATTATTTTTAATTCGAAATACAATTATTCCAATAATCGGATTCAAACGATTATTTCAATAATCGGATTACAGGTTATTTTTAATTTGAATTCGCCCATCACTATAATAACATTTAAAATTGGTAACAAGTGAGGTTAATTATTTGACAGATGTCAGATTTTATTTCATTATTATTGGAGCCAATTTGGAGGAGAAAGTATAGTATTACACTCGAGATTATGCGCAGACGAGAGACTTAAACAGGGCTGCCAACCGACCTTCATTGATTTACTCCCAGAACTTTTTAAGATTACTCACAAATTTCTCACAACATCAAAATGACAATACTGAGGTTGATTTTTTTTTATAAATATTTAAAATGGTATAAATAAAAATTGTATATTTGATAATACCTGGTGACGTCACTGATGACTGATGCCGCTTTTGCTTCTAAAATTCTCACAGCGCCACCTAAGCGATAATAAATGCGCCAAATTTAAAAAATATCACATATGTGAAAAAAACGCTACATTTAGACGCCAGCGCGAAATTTCCAAATTTAGCGCTACAACTGCAACAGTATTTTTTTTAGTGGGTAAAAAACTTGATACAAAATGAAACTCTATGGATCTCTGTAGACAGGTTAAAAAACACATAGACCTAGATAAAAATGCTTTTTTAATAATAATCAAAGTGGGAGGTATATTATAATGTTTTGGAACATTAAAGTTTCAAAAAAATTTACCTTATTAGAAATATAAATAAATAATAATTTCTGTATACAGACGGAGGTACAGAAATTAAAAGTTGATCCTCGATTACTCACATTTTACTCACAATTGCACATTACTCACAAAATAACTCACAAACCATAAAAATACTCAAAAATGTGAGTAATTACTCACAAATTGGCAGCCCTGGACTTAAATCATCCGAGAATACTAGTAACAATTTCCATAAGATTACACTCATAAGTCTACATAGAAAGACTTTATAGTTCAAAAGTCTAATAATTATTATTATAGTTCAAAAGTCTAATAATTATTATTATAAACCTCCTTACAAAAATGCTAAAGCTAAAATGTCATCCTGTCAGTTGAACCTAACCTAAAAATGATGTGAATCTTGACCAAAGAAATATTTAAATGAAATGGTTGAAAAAAATAGTATATACCTAAAACCCGGCGGCAAAAGTTTGTTACCTCGCACAATCTACTTTGAAATGTATACTCGTATATGTGCTTTTTCTGCCTGGTCTCTAATGGTACTACTTTGATAATTTTCTTTTTTAGCACGAGATGTACAAAGTCCGTCAAAAGTATTGTTAAACTGGTTGTGGGGAAGAAGCACTCCAAAAGTAAATGATACTTAAAATGTGCCTGAATTCCATGAAAAAAACAATAGTTTTAAAGAACTGATATTTTTGTGTGGATTTTTTATGTTATTGTTGTACGTTTTTAAATAACTCAAAAACCTATATTCACTAGTTAATGTATATAGTTTGTTTATATAGTATGTACAGTTCTTTGAAAGTGCATTTAACTTTTTATATTAAAAAAAAATAATAAATACTGAAGATTTTATAAACTGTGTGAACTGTAAAAATAAATGTGATATACCCATACACACAAATCGTTTTATTTATGTTTATAGAGATAAAATATTTATTGAGTCTTAAATAATTATTTAAGACTCAATAAATATTTATAAAGACTTAAAATTGCATAACAATCAGATAAAAACTGTTACAGAGCTTTAAAGACAGTATATTTTGAGGTATGTATTTTTTGTTTGTTTTAAATGAAATGTTCAGGGATATCAACAAAAATTCAATGATGGTTACATTTAAATGTGCGGAAAATTTCAATAAAATCTGATAACCATTGTAGAAGTTGCACTGTTTAAAAAGTTTGACATGTTGGGCGCCAAAATGATAAATAAAACAGTTTTTTAAATTGTCACCAAAATAAATAGCGTACTTTTGTTATACCTCAAAAATTTGATTAGAATTAAAGTTATGGATATTTTAATAGTTATTTACGATATAAGTGGGATAAGAGCTTTATTAACGTACGCATGCGAAATTTGCCCAACGAGTGCGTAGCACTTGTTGGGTAATCGCAAAAGTACGTTAATAAAGCGTTATCACACGTATATTGTACAAATTTTTATCTACGCCTCTAAATGAAAAAATAAACGGTAATTATTTTTGTCTAAGACTTAATTTAGGGTTACTTTGACATTTTGACTTTTTTATTTGATTGGTTAAAAGCAGAGAAAACCGCGTGCGTTAATGAACTTCTTATCTCACTCAAAATGAGTGGGATAAGAAGTTCTTATCTCACTGGCGTAGATAAAATAAATAAAATACATTGGGTAAAAATATGTGTGATAAAAAAACTCAGTATCCTAATAAATTAAATATATTTACAATGAACTAACATTTTTCTCATCTTTTCCACTAATTTTTAAATCGCTAAACTTCTCTTCGGCAGCATCTATTTTTGCAGCAATTTCAGCGTATTTTTGTTGCCTGTATGCTTTTTTTGCCTCATCCAATAAAACATTATGAATAATCCCTCTATTTGTTGAAGTATCGGGCAATAAACTTGGATAGGGGTTACCTTTTAGCTCCAGTACAGCTTTGGGTAGAGTATCACCTGGGTAAACTCTTGGTACTTTAATTAAACGTGTATAGGCTACGTTATAGTGCTCATAACGCGGGACTAGAACCTTAAAAAGCTTGTGTATAAGTTGTTTTTCAACTATCCAGTAATCAGCCACATCCATTGTTGTTTTGTGACAATCTCCATATCGTATAGCATCAGATATCAACTAAAATGTTTACTATGGTAAAAATACATTAAATTGTAAGAAAAACTCACTCTTTCAGCATACATACGAGCCTCATCAGCTCTGGGGTAATTTAACTCTATTCTTTCATGTTTTATCAAAGCAGTTACCGTTTTTCGTAACCAATTTAACCTTTCTTCCGGTCCCCCAGAGTTTCTGAACTTACGTAGACGCGGATTTACGCGGAATTTCAGCTGCGAAACTAATTTGGACACATCTGCTTGATTCATTTTCGTTAAATTGTGTGATTTAATAACTTAACCCAATTCGAGGACATTTGTGACTTACAAATTGTGAGGTTATGTGGGTTTGTCTAACCGAAGCAGGGTTGCCAATGTTAAATATTAAAATTTTCCTCGAGCGCTCGACTTTTATTAGGTGCTAATCCCGAATATTTGCCATGCGCACTTTACATTTTGAACCCCAAATTTTAAAAAGCGCATACCTAGGATGTCCTGAATTAGTTTGGGATTAGCTCCGCGAAAATAGCTAAAGTTCATTTTTTTTATCTGGACTGCGGCAACGTTGCAAATTTAGGGTTTTGGTTGGTAAATAAAGAACCAAAATTGGTCGCATTGATTAAAACAAACTAAGCTAGTTATAAATCTAATTGTGGTTATGTATAAATTATACTACGAATTGCATCTCTGCGCCGATGATTTGCATTTATGCAAAGTTTTGCTATTCGACGCCACCAACGCTCAACCGAAATACTATGAAACAGATTACAATTTAATTGATGCAAAATCAAGAACAATTAAACTGAATCTTAAAAAAATCATATTGCTAATAGAACGTATCTACCATAGACATATTAAAAAGTTGACGCGTAACGACTATTCACGGCGTTCTCTATAGAGAACGCCGTGGCCTATTGCATTCACTATAGTGAAGTGGACCAAAATTACGCGTTCCCTCTCTTTAAGTATATAGGTTTTTTCGCCCGTCAATTTCTAAAATAATCTTAAAACTGCTACAAAATATCTTAAATGTCTTTATTCAAGTCTAAAATCAAAACTGTTTAAAGTTCTTTTTTTTTATCTGGACTGCGGCAACCTTGCAAATTTAGGGTTTTTGTTGGTAAATAAAGAACCAAAATTGGTCGCATTGATTAAAACAAACTAAGCTAGTTATAAATCTAATTGTGGTTATGTATAAATTATTGTAGGTTACATTGTACAGTTGTCAGGTTGAGTTGTCGAAATTCGTAGTTAAAAATGCAAATAATTTGGCTTTGGTGGTGCTTGAGTAAAATCATATAAAAAAGTAGTTAAATTTAGGTTGCTTTACGGCCCAGAAGAGAAAGTATTCCTTGCGGATAACAATCTTCGCTTTGAAAAGAATTTATATAAAAGAAATTATATAAATACACCTATTGCGGAATTTAAATTAAAGTTTGCGGAAAAAGTTAGATTTTTAACTGCTTGTGCAGATCTTATCTATTCAATGTTATTATAAACTCGTATAAGTTTGGAGTGGGTCCCATGTCTAATAACTAAAATATAGGTACCTACCTATAACCAAAATCCACCAGCCGCCACTGATATTGAGTCCGATACATTTTTTAAATTGGTTTCTATGGGGCATTTTCGGCAGGGTATAATATTGTCCAGGACTATTAACTTGCAAATTTAAATAAGACAAAGTTTCGTGATTATTGTTTATCTTTTTCAATCCAAATGGTTGCTATTTTCAAAGACAGGAAAATTAACTACTAGATTTTTCACGAAAAGGTTGAACCTAACAGCAAATATTTTTTTTTACAAATAGGTAGTTATTTTTTCATTGATATCATTGCTTGCAACAATCATTACTTAATCAATAATTACTTTGGTAGTTTTCGTTACTTAAAAAAATAAATAAAAATCGTTCGCCGGAAATAACTTTTAATTTCATGTTAACATCATTAAGAAAAATATATACCACATTTGTTCGTTTTCTTTAAATTTTTTTGTTCTGCAGGAATTTTGGGTGTTTTAAATTAAAACTTTAATTCAAGTTATTGTAACGTTTCTTTAACTGTTCGTAGTGTGAATTAAAACACGCACTGGTTTATTAACGAACTAAACTATTTATTTAATAACTTAATTACACTTAAAACACTAAGAAACTATAAAACTAACTAAACACTTAACTACTATAGTAGTTATAGTATTATAATTATTTATATATCACTACTAGTCTATTTATTTGCACGTTTATTTATTTATTTTGACGCGAGTACCAAAACTGGACTGACTTCTCTGTGCTGCTTCGTTCCTTATATATTCAGCGCCCAAGTCTTCTGGAACATTCCAGCGAGCTCCACACTCTCGATTGTTCGAGCGCTGACTCACCAGCGATGACTCATCGCCGATGAGTCATCATTCCGATATCCAGAGCTGTACTCGCTACATTGCCCCCGTCTTAAAACATTTTCGTCCCGAAAATGGTCCTCAGCTCCATGGCGATATTTGCATAGAGATCCAAACTTGCATTGTGACGTCCTATGGAAGTAGCAGTCTACGGTCTTCCTTCCGGTTGTTCTTTTAGGGTTGTGGCAACAGACAAGAATGTGTATGCCACTAAACCTGAAGATAACTTCCACTATATGGTATACCATATATATACTTGTAATTATTCTCCAGTCTAAACCGTCAAGTCCACAAGCAATCTTCGGATATCCCTCAATTTATTTAAGGCATTCCATACATCACGGTAGTTTGGCTTCTGATAGGAGAGCTGCTTCGTTACCAGATAGAAAATACTTCTGTCGCTTATTCACAATTTCAAGCACCTCTCCAACTTTGGGATTCTGCCTTCGTGGATCGTCGACCCGTCCAAACTTGTTTTTAAATACAACCGCTATTCCCCTGGACATCCTAAGGTCTTCCGCAACACAGTGAGCCAAGGAGTAATCGGCCGAAACCGTGAACAAATCTTTTTGTTCTTCTCGAGTGACACCATACCGAGCTTTTTTACCGCTCGAATTTAAATACATGAAGTCTTCAAAAGGCAACTCGTCTTCCGGCGGATTAACCCTCCTTACTCTGGCATCGTCTATTTGAGCATTGTTTGCAGCGTAAGGAGCCAATCGGTTGAAATGGATCACTTTCGGCTTTCCTCTTGGTTGTTTCCTGATCCTGTAGATGATGTCATTTATTCGTTCCATGACTTCGTAAGGTCCCTTCCAAGAAGTCTGTAGCTTCGGTGAATAACCACGACGGCGATGAGGGTTGTATAACCAAACTAGGTCTCCAGGTTGAAATCCTCCATTTTCCGCCTTGATGTCACATGCCTCTTTCATTCTATCACTGGCACTCTGGATGTTTAAACGAACTCGGCTGTGTGTGTCGCTCATTTTCCTGCGTAAATTGCTGACATAATCTTCTCCAGCAATATCTTTCCCTGGTAGGCAACCAAACCTCAAGTCACAATGTAGACGAAGTACACGTCCCATAACAATGCTAGCGGGTGTCTGGCCGGTTGTATCGTGGACAGAAGAACGGTACGCCAGCAGGAACAGATGAAGGAAGCGGTCCCAGTCTCTTTGGTGATCAGAGACTACCTTGGACAGGTACCGGTTTATAGTTCGATTCATTCGTTCTACCATTCCATCAGACTGCGGATGTAATGCAGTCGTTCTCGTCTTCCGAATGTTAAGAATATTACAGACATTCTGGAACAATATAGATTCAAAGTTCCTGCCTTGGTCTGAATGCATCTAAATTGGCACACCAAAACGACAAATCCACTCCTTAATAAGGGCATCGGCTACTGTGGCGGCTTCCTGGTTTGGCAAGGCGTACGCTTCCGCCCACTTGCTAAAGTAGTCCATTACAACGATGATGTATTTATTTCCAGATTCTGTTTCCGGAAATGGACCCGCCACGTCCGATTGCAATTCTCTCAAATGGGCTGCCCACATTGTACTGCCGCATTGGGGCTTTTGGGAGCTTCTGGGTTCCATTGCTTGCCGCGCAAACGGCGCACTTCTTGCACCATTCCTTCACATCTCGTTGGCTGTTGACCCAATAAAACCGTTCCCTAAGTCTTCCGAGCGTCCTTGTCACCCTAAGATGTTCTCCAGTAGTTCCATCATGGATTTCCTGCAGCACTTCTGGTATCCTCTTTCTGGGGATTATTATCTGCTTTCGGTCTTCCCCCCCCTTCTGGCATCTCCAGAACGCGTTTTAGAAGCCCGTCACTTAAGATGATGGAATTCCATTGGGCCCAGTACGATTTCACATTCGGCGAATATTGGGCGACTTCCTGCCACGTTGGTTTACGGTCGTTCTTCTTCCAATCGATAATAAGCTTCAAATCCGGGTCCCTTTCCTGATCTTGTTAAACCTCAGCGGATTGCCAATGATCCTCCACGATTGTAGTCCTGCGAACAAACACATCCTTTTCTTCGGCCCTGAGACAATGTTTACAGTCTTCCGGGCACGGTCTTCTCGACAAGGCGTCAGCATTTCTATGGATGGTCCCAGCCCAATGTTCTGTGTCAAAGTCGAACTCCTCTAGTCTTTCAATCCATCTTGCTACCTGTCCTTCAGGATTCTTGAATTGCAAAAGCCATTTAAGGGCAGCATGATCCGTTCTTAGCAAGAATTTTCTTCCATACAGGTACTTGTAAAAGTGTTCGACTGCTTTTACCACTGCCAACAGCTCGCGTCGAGTAACACAGTAATTTCGCTCTGGTTTCGATAGAGTTTTACTGAAGTATCCAATAACTTTCTCTTTTCCTTCTTGAATCTGCGACAAAACAGCTCCCAGGCCCACATTGCTGGCGTCCGTGTCCAAAATAAATTCACCATCCGGAAGTGGATAACTCAGGACTGGTGAGCTGGTCAACGCGTTTTTCAGGTTCTTAAAGGCTTCTTGGCATTCGTCGTCCCATTGGAATCGTCTTTCTCCCTCTGTTAAACGTGTCAAAGGCTTAGCAACCTTTGCGAATCCTGGTACGTACCGACGGTAGTACGTGCATAATCCAAGAAAGCTTCTTAAGTCATGTTTATTTTTCGGTATTGGCCATTCCCGCACCGTCTTCACCTTCTGTTTCTCCACTGCCACTCCTTGACTTGAAACAACATGGCCCAGATACTGCATTTCCCTCTGGAACAAGTGACATATCTTTGGGCTTAGCTTCAGACCAGAACTTCTTAAGCGCTGAAAGACTTCCTTCAGGTTCCTCATATGGTCCTCAAATGATTTCCCAACCACAATGATGTCATCAAGCATGTCTTCCAGGATAGCCCCTTCAAAACCATTTCCATGAGCCTTTCAAAAGTTGCAGGGGCATTACATAGTCCAAACGGCATGACAGTAAACTGCCACAGTCCAGCACCCACGGTAAACGC